CATCAAGTTGATTCCAACTTATGGCAACCCTTTCCAGGGTTTTCTAGGAATAAAGTACAGTACTCAGAAATAGTTCACCATTCCCTTCTTTGGTGGGTGGGGGCGGCTCTGGGAGTGTGCGACTTCCTGAAGGCTCAACACACTGGGCACTCTGGGGAATCGATCCCTCAACCAGAGGACTAACTGACTGAGACATCTAGTCAGGAGAACACATGGACTGAGCACACTGTAAAAAGTTATTCTTTGATCTGCAAGGAGACTATCAATTAATGCAAATTGTTGGCGAGCAAACTCCTTACAGTTACGGAACCCCATCTGTGCCTAATGTCTGCTGCAGTCTTTAAGCTTCCCCTGGTGCAGTGCTCTTTAGATATACTGGCTTATCATCCCATGATCCCCAGTAAGCTTATTCAAAGCCAGGCTTCTGGGGATGATGGGAGTTGTAAGAGAGAAGACTGCTGCAGTTGACTTGGTAACCTGAAATAACCCTTAAAATCTGCCAAGCCTTTGCCAAAATATGGCTTCCTGCCAGCATTAGTTCTGAGTAAGCTTTGGGCGGATGCTGTTTATGAATGCTGCTGGCTGGAAATATATCCCATTTGTCTTCCAAAGGGCTCACAGGAGTCAAGCCCACCTCTCAGAGAGCCTTCCCTGCTACTCAGTGCTGGCCCCTTTATAAGTACGGCAAATACAGCTATTCTTGATAGTTGTTGCTACTGGTGGTAACAGATAGATGTGTATCCTGCCATTCCTCCAATGACTGCAAGAGGCCTCTGCTTCTTGTCCTCATGACAACCCCGTGAGGTAGGTCAGGCAAAAGGAGACTGATTGGTTCAAAACCTCACAGGGACCTTCCTGGATCAGAGCAATATTTGGCCCCAGTCTCCTGAGTCCCAGTCCAACTGCCCTAATCCCTGCACCGCACTGCTTTGCAAGTTGGGTAGTTTGGAAGCACTCAGTCTAGATAGCATGCATTGCTTCAGTCACTTCAAAATAAGGTCTGCGCACCCTTCGGTATCCTGCTCGTTCTTCTGAGGAAGGCCCTGGACATCTGCACATATATATCCTTCTTCAACAGCAGTACCACACCAGTCCATCTCATGTCAGCACTGTCTTCTTTTCTACTTCCAGCTAAGCTTTGGTCTGCTTCCAGTGTTCTTCTTGTTCCTTTCTTTAAAATAAATAAATAAATACTCCCACTGTACGAGTGTGGGCTCTGCATACATGGTGCTTATGGAGTTCTATGCATGTGTGCACAAATTGACTGGAAAAAGAGAAATGAAATTTCTCTCACTCCGGTGCTATTTTTAACATTATGGAACAATCTAGTGCCCTCTTCTCTTTATGCTTTCTGCAGCATTTTTGCCATTTTCTTTCTTTTTGGCTGAGATTCTGAAAATTTTGTTTCATGCACTGGAACGTTTCATGGTGAATGAATGTGATAAATAAAGGGCAGTAGCTGGTGAAAGAGAAAACTGGCTGTATCTCTGCCACCCACACACCAGCAACTGTGTGAATAAATCCAATTCAGGCTTTAAGACAGACATGTAATAAAAGGTTAAGAGTTTGTTGGGCAATGTGGTATGGAGCGAAAAGCAAGCCCTTTAAGAAAAATTCTTCTTTCTGTTACTTCCTGGGAAATCTAGCTTGTACTCTTATGTTGCACAGAGGAAATGGAATCGGTTGTTTTTAACCATTGTCAAATGTGGTCTTGGCCTTCCTTCCCATGACATACACACTTCTAGGCCAATACATTTACTGGAAGTGAACTGGTAGGGAACAGAAGTACCTAAGTTGACATTCCCAACAGCTCTGAACAGTGGACACAGGAGAGGCAGAAACTCTGAGACTCTGTATCTGGTCTCTAAAATTAAAACTGCTTGCAAGGGCCCAAAGAAACAGATTTAGGCATAAGTTGAAAATCTGCTTCATACTAGTGAAAGGGCAACCCTATGAACCACGTAGCACAGGTTCCACCATTCTTTGCAAGAGCAGAATGAAACCTCTGGCACATAACTTTGCACCCTGAAAAAACATAAATAAACAATTAGAGTAAGAAGTGAGCCCTTAGGGAGGCAAAATTAGGCTTTCAAAGGCAGTCAACGGCTCACAAAGTTTCTGTAGAGAGAGGGAAGGAGGAGGAGGAAGGAGAGGTAGTAGTCTGTACACTTTTATGCCTACCCTCAATCAACAGAAGCAACAGAATAAATTAAGCAAAATAAGCACATATATGCACACTTGCCTGATTTTGCCAGATTTCTGCAGTTGGTCATGTTCCACCCTACCCAGCCCCATAAACATGGCTTCACAGCCTCAGGAATGTCTAGGTCAGGACTCTGGCATCAATATTTTGAGGTCTCTCAAAATTGTTTTTCAGGCAAAAAAAAAAAAGTACAAATCATACTTCAGACTATGATCTGGATGGTTCTGAGGAAGACATCCTTAGGGTAAACTGTCCTTTTTCGTTCTCCTTCCTCTTCTTTTCGCAGAAAATCATGCCCTTCCTCTTCTTTTCTGCGTAGGCCTGATGACACCAGAGGAACACAAGAAGTTTGACAGTGTCAACTCGCCCCATAACAAGTTCTGGATACCCTGTGTGTGGTTCTCAAACCTGGCCATGAAGGCACGTAATGACGGGAGGATCCGGGACAGTGTGCTGCTTCAAGGCATCCTGAATGTGAGTTCTAGACATGCACTTCAGGGTCAGACACACATTGTGATTTCAGAAACAGACCACCTCTGCTCATTTTCCAGGAAGTTCTGGAATGCATTGTCAGAAAAAAGAAGGAAAAAAACGATATTTAAGAGCTGGGTTGGGAACTGGATTTAGTTAAATAATAACAACACAAAGCATTTAAAGTAATTCAGGGATATTCCCCCCACAAGTCCTAGTAAAAGGTTGTAAAATAGATCAGTAGAATCATCATTGTACTTCAAGTGAAAAAAGCTGGCAAAAGTCCCTCTTTTTTGAAGTATGTCACCCAGGCTTCTGACTACTGGCAATATAGGGAGGGAGGGATTCTAAGGAATTATTGTGTAAAGGATAACTTTTCCAAGTACAGTATTATCATGGGGGACTTTGAATGGCAGTGCTTGTAGTTCCCAAACTCAAGGCCCCAAATGTTCTTAGACTGCACTTCACAGAAGCTCTTACTGTTGGCTGCCCTGGTTAGTGCTTATGGGAGTTGTAAACTCAAACATTTGGAACTTCACTTTTTGGAACAGTGGCTTCAATGAGTTCATGGTAAGACTGGAATTCAGCCTTTTAACCAATGTGCAACAACAGTTTCCATCCCTGAGCGGAAACATAGTCCTAGAATAGGCTTTTAAAGGGTTTCGATGATCTGGTGGACCTAGAGTTATGGCCTGCTGGAACCTTTAATAATTCTTCATTGTTCTGGCCTTCCATGTAGACCATAGCTATTTTTCAGATTTTTCTCAATGCTAGAAACTCCCTTTTCTGTTTTTGCAGAAAGATGTGATTTCTTTTAAGTCATTTGAGGCCAAATCCTGTTACATATTTACATCTGCAGAAGGCAAACAGTGTAACTTGCAGCCCTTTCTTGTGGGCAGTTAACAAATCCTGGCTTGGATATTTTTGGGTGCACCCATGCCTACTGGCTTCCCCGAGGATGAAAGTGCGGGCTCACTAAATGCCAGCAAGATGTCACTAAAAGTTGTGTGGTTTGGCTTCCACAGGCATAACTAAGCAATAGGATTTCTGTGCTAGGCTGTACATTGTATGCTGTGCAGCCCAAGTAGCAAAGGTACATAATGACATAATAAGAATAAACTGCCAGGCCAAAACAGCTGAAATAGGGGTTCCCCTTTGAAAGCAGCAGTATCAAAAGCAGCCACTGCCATGAGGTCACTCAGTATTTGTTCTTCTCTCATGCAGGAAATGAACACCTTGCGAAGCCAGTGTGGCCGGCTCTATGGATATGATTGGATCAGCATTCCGTTGGTCTATACTCAGGTATGATTATACTCAGAATGTCATACTCACAGCAGAGCACTTAATGGACGAACCTGCTTGCAGGCAAGGCTTTTGTTATCTGCCTTAGACACCAGGCACAGTTAACCGTTTGCCACCGCCCAAGCCACAGCCGCAGGGCAGACTTCATGGTGCCAGCTCTCACGTCTTGCACAAAACAACAGGTTAGGTAATGCACTCCATCAGACTTGGCTGTGCAGGGAAAGAGGATTCCTGCCTCTGTGGGCTGTGAAGGTTAATGGGAGATTTATCTGGAACCCTGGGAAGACCAAAGGCTCCTGCAAACTAGAATCAAAGACAAGGGAAAGTCAGTGCGGGGCATGCCTTTGCATGTGCGCGCACACATGCACATGCAGAGAGTCTCATTTTAATTGGAACTTGTTTGCTTTCAGCAACCATGGGATGCTGGCTGGAGTACGTAAGACAGAACGGGATGTCTCATTCAAGCACATATAGGTGTGTTTCAGGGCAGGCTGGTTTAACTTGTGGCAGTTAGGCTGGGGAGAGGCAGGCTGAATCTAATAGAACAAGTGTCTGAAACACTGATAGCAAAAAGGAACCAGAACCAAGGTCCAGAATTCAAAGTGAGGATTCTTCAGTACATGTTAACATAGCACAGCCTGGAAAAGTTACTTTTTGCACTGCAGAATCTCCCAGCTGGCATGGTCAGTGACTAGAGAATTCTGGGACCTCTAGTCCAAAAAAATAAAGTTTCCATGTTCTGTGACAGTGGGACCGCTCACTGTTGAGTAAGATTAAGGATTATCAGTGGTTCTTCTTATAAGTTGTTTTTACCTGTTAACAGAAGGAGGTAGTCAAAGGTCAGAAGCTGCTGCCTTGTAGGAAATTTGCAATATAATTGTCACTGTGCCAAGAATCTTAGCTCGGCAAAGAACAAGAAAGCAACTTCTGCAGTGTTACAGAATGCCAGATGTAACAGTGACCCTTTTGTGCATTCAGGAATCATTCCACCCTTCCCCCACCCCCGCCCCGTCCTGCTGCTGGACTAAAAAGATTCAGCTGGGACACAGATCAGTGTCAGGCTGGTTTGCAGTCTGTGAAATAGTTCTCAACAGACCATGCCACAAACTGTCCAAAATGTTATTTACCCCATATTATTTCACCCTAAATTAGAATGGCTTCACAAGAACTAGATTGCACATTACAAATAATGCACGTTACATTGAATGTTAGCAACTGTGTGCTAAAGAAGTTGTTCCAATTGGAAAAGTGTAGCCGAGAAGGAACTATAGGAACTCAGAAGAACAGCTGGATAGTCCAGCTGTTTAGGTAGAAGTTGGAGGGGAATTCAATTCTCCACCATGCCTCCTAGATAGGAGCTAGACTTGATGAATCATATGGTTTCTTCCAACTCTGCAGTTCTAAGATTTTTATTATTGTATTCTCGAAGACTTTCATGGCGGGAATCAGATGGTTGTTGTGGGTTTTTTGGGCTCTTTGGCCGTGTTCTGAAGGGTGTTCTTCCTGACATTTCGCTAGTCTCTGTGACCGGCATCTTCAGAGGACTGGAGCAACAGAGCATGGACAGAGTTCCTACTCCAGAGACTGGCGAAATGTCAGGAAGAACACCCTTCAGAACATGCCCAAAGAGCCCGAAAAACCCACAACAACCATTTTTATTATTATTAGTCTGGAAGAATCAGCATGAAATTCAGAACCACAGTAGAGGTTGAACTCAACTTGAACTCAACTGGAACTCAAACTCTTAGGTACTTTCCAGTCAACAGTTCTTTTATTTCATGCAGATAACTCTGGTTTTTCTTGACATTTTAGTAGTTCTAGCAATATCAAATATCGCTGCCTCTCTATAATGAAAGACCCGGTATCTTAGGTTCTTGTATTTAAACTGTGTGAAGGATGTTCTCAACCATTAAAGGAGGAGGGCAAAACGCTTGAAAACAAAGGAGGAAACGAACCAAGCTGGGAAATAGTTCATGCAACTTAAGGATGGGATGGTGAATATTTTTATATTTCTTTTCTTTTGGGAGGGGTGTTGTGCCTTCCATTTTTGTATTTTTCATGAATCAGCCCTTTCATTTTTACATGAAAGGCAAAGCCTCTTTTGAATTTTTCCATTTTGCGTCTTCCATTCATGTTTCCTGGCACTCCAAGAAGCTCTGAACAACCTTTAAAAACTATTCCAAAAAAAAAGCAGAGGCAAGGGAAGAGAGAGTCAACCTTCTCCAAAAGCAGTCGCCAGTACATGAGAAAGAAGAAACATCAACTTCACCCCCAAAATAAACGCCTTTAACAAAATGAACACACAGTAAATCAACCAAAATTAACCACACACACAAAAAATCAGTCAAACGGGAAATACCCACTCACCCCCTTCACACAGGGGGTGTGTGCCTTTTGTTAAAACACAAAAAGACCCATCCTTATAGCTGGCCATGGCAGAAAGAGGCAGGAGAAAAATCTGTAACGTACCTTGCAGCAGTCCTGTCAGCACCTCTGACCCATGAGGGTGCATGAGATTCAGGAGATGGCCTGCCATGTAGCACAAATTATGTTTGCTGAGAGTTAAGGAATTCAGCCTCTTGGGCTCATGGCTTAAGTATGTATTTTTAAAAATAGTGATTCTGCTACTCTAACTCATAAAAGTGTTTCCTTTTATGAATTAATAGCTCAGTACTGGCTTTGCACACCACCATCCCTGATAGACCACGGTGCCTTGACAGACTCTTAGCAGTCTCTTTTTCTCCAAGGTGGTCACAGTCGCTGTTTACAGCTTCTTCTTGGCTTGTTTAATTGGCCGGCAGTTCCTGGACCCAGCAAAGAAGTATCCTGGTCATGAAATGGACTTATTTGTGCCCGTCTTCACCTTCCTGCAGTTTTTCTTTTACGCTGGATGGCTAAAGGTCAGTTCAAAGGAAAGATGATTCGATTCCTCCCTGGGGAAACTTCTGCCTACTGGGACAAGAATTGGGTTTTGAATCTGAAAGCTAGAAAGTTCAAGAGACTAAAGCTAAAGTCGTTCTCAGCCTGAGGCCCTTTAATGCGCAAGTCAGAAGGAAACCCAGGATTCCCAGTGAGAGCAAAATTACACGGGAGGCTAGCAGCCCCCATAACTTTAAGCATGGATCTGTCCTTTCACTTATAAAGTGGGGAGGGGGTAGGATGACATAGGAGAATGCAAGTGGGAGGTGGGACTTGTCTTCCAGGAAAGTTCCAACACTTATCCTACTTTATCCTCCCAACATCCCTGTTGGGTAGATTAGACAAAAAAGGGTGGCTGAACCAAAGTGGATCTCAGTAAAGGACTGAGCCAGGATGCTTCAGGTCCAGGTCCAACACTCTCAAAGACATCTACAACGCTCACCATCCCGTTGACGCTTAGGGGAACGCGGCAGTCCAGGGGTTCTTGCTGTGTGACCATTTCCTTCACAGGTAGCTGAACAACTCATCAATCCATTTGGGGAAGATGATGATGACTTTGAAACCAACTGGCTCATTGACAGGAACCTGCAGGTAAATTGGAGGCTTGCCTTTCTTTCCACTCTGTAGCGTCTCAGAATTGAGGGTGGGGTTAGGGTTCTTGATACACACAACACGGATGGAAAAAAGTTGAAGGTACGTCAGAAAACAATTCAGGGTAAGCCAAGTGACTATTAATCACCATACTTCCAACTCAGTAGTTCAGAGGACATCTCATATTCAAGAACATGGCTGTAGAAAGAAGACTCATACAGTTCAGGGCCAGGGAAGCACTCAGGGGTCATACTCTACTGCTGGGCAGGACCAGGTAGGGCCGAAAACATGAGCATATTTAGCTTCTCCTGCTTGGCCATGGTGACAACATGCCTTAGTTACGTCCTGTTTGTACTACTGTAGTGTGCTCTACATGGGGCTGTCTTTGTGTTCCAAAACTTCAGCTGGGTCAAAATGTTCTAGCCAGACTGTTACTGGTTGTAGGGAGCATGTAACTCCCTTACGACAACAGCCTCACTGGCTGCCAGATTGTTTCCAGGCCCTATTCAAAGTGCTGGTTATTACCTATAAAGCCCTATACGGCTTAATTCCAGGCTATTTGAAGGATCATATTGTCCCACATGAGCCTTCTCAGCTCTTAAGATCTTCTGGGGAGGCTCTTCTTTCAGGTTCAACACCTTCCCAAGCTTGCTTGGTGAAAACATGAGAGAGGGCCTTCTCAGTGGCTGCTCTGAGGCTTTGGAATGTGTTGCCCCGAGAAGCCACGTTGGCCCCCTCCCTGTTGTCCTTCTGTCATCAGGCAAAGACCTTCCTCTTCAGGCAGGCCTTTAAGCCTTATGTTATCTCAGGAATGCTGATTTTTAACTTATAGGTTGTTAACATTTTTAATTGGTCAGGAATGCTGATTTTTAACTTATAGGTTAACATTTTTAATTGGTTTTATATTTGTTTGTTTTAATCTTAATGTATGTTTATTTTTTTTTAAATTGTGATATTTATATACTGTTTGAAAATTCCTTATTTTATCTGTTGTGAACTGCCTTGGGTCCCTTATGGGGTGAAAGGCAGCATATAAATAATTTAAATAAAATAAATAAAATAATAGCTAAACCTCGAGAGGCTCGTCTACCTTTTTAACCATAACATAGAGTCCTGCAACAAAAAAATGGGAAAGCACTAAATGAGGGCGACATTGGGAAGAAGGTGTGACCGAATGGGGAACTCCTGAGGGACCTCTGGAAGAGCCTGAGGAGGGTCCTCATACCTGAGAACAGTGCTAAGAGATTTCTCAGCCAAGGGCATGTCTTTCTTGTCATCCTGCTCCATTGCTGTTAAGGATGAGCCGACATCCGGTGCCACTGTTGCAACCCATGGCACTTTGGTTTCTCATGATAGCAAGATCATTTCTGAATGCTGGAAGCTCAAACACCCGGTCCCCCGTGCTCATCTCCTCCTCCTCCTCCCCATCATAAGCTTCTCACACATGCTGTTCTTTCTTACTCTCAGATCCTGATAGTCCTGGCTGTTCAAAACCTCACCACATGCTTTTCTCTGCTTTCAAAATGAACTCATTAATCACTCTTCCCTCTTATGCAGGCTGCACAACTTATCAACCACCTAGCTATTGAGGAAATAGCCCTCTTGTTTTTGCGGGAGAGGTTTATCAAGTCACCAGCAAGCCACCATACATGGTTATCGGTCTGCAGTCCTATTATCACAAGCTCTCCAGCCGACTAAACAGAAACCAACATCTTCTTCTCCATCATTTGGTTTTTCAAATTCCAGCCATCATCAAATTATTAGAAAGGGATGCTTTCTCAGAAATGAGAGGTGGGGGGAATAGAAGAAGAGTAAAAGGCCCTCACAGAGTCATGGCATCTGACATAATACATGTCATATTATCCCTTTGCAGGTCTCCCTTATGGCTGTGGATGAAATGCACAAAGATCTGCCCGTTCTGCAGAGGGATCCATATTGGAACGAATCCGACCCCCAGCCACCTTATACAGCAGCAACAGCAGACTATAAGCGAACATCTTTTCTTGGCTCAACCTTTGACATCAGGCAAGTGGAGTTGTCTGAAATAATCATGTACATCCCTTCTTTCCTGACACATGAACTGCATTTGATAAATACATTTGTTGTGACACAATAAATATATTGGTTTGTGCAATGCCACAAGAGTTTAAAAAACAACAGTGGAAACTAGTTGGGCCATTGACAAAACATTGCAATGGGGAATTCTTTCTGCGCAGGATTCCAGCCAACTACTCATGTCCTCTTTCTGGATGGCCCGTTACCTAGTTTATATCCCCCACCCTCAGCTGTCTCTCTATCCTCTGCTCCCAGCCAAGCAGACAGTATTCCATGCTCACTCAGTATAGCTAGTCTTCATTGGGCTGCTTTGCTTTTCTCCCTTCTCTTGTGGGGGTGGGGGGTGGGGGGCATCTGGCTCGATAGCTCAGTCAATTAATTATCTGTGGGAGAAGAGTCAGCATGGGTAGCCTTGGGCAAGCTGCACAGTCCCAGAGCACACCCCCCCCCAGAAGAAGGGAATGATAAACCATTTCTGGATACTCCATAACTAGGAAACCTTGCAAAGGGTTGGTAGAAGTCAGAATTGATTTGATATCATGTAGTTGTTGTTACATGCATGTTTATTATACAATGTGTTAGTCTGCTGCAAGAATATATTATCTTGCATCAGAGTAACAAATGTGCTACAGCACAAGGTTTTTTGACCATCTGATGAAATGGGCTGTAATCTACAAAAACTTGTTTCATTTACCGTAATTCTGAAAACATTGGAGTTTCAGGAAACCTGCTGATAACCTTCTCTCTCTCTCTCTCTCTCTCTCTCTCTCTGTGTGTGTGTGTGTGTGTGTGTGTGTTTGTGTGTTTGTGTGTTTGTGTGTGTGTGTGTGGTCATACCACTCTCTGTAGATCACCATTTACTCAAACATTTCATTTGGTCGTTTTGATGTGGGGTGGGAGCCTGTTTTGACACACACTGAAGCTTTTACTACCTGTTGTTATGGTTTCTAGTATAACGTAAGTTATCCAACCCTCATATAACTAAATGGTTTGTGATGAGTTGCCAGGCCCCACCCTCCTTGTTAGCTCTACACAGTACCTTGTTTTGCACTCTGCAGGCAGTAAACGAGCCCAAGGCCAGCAAGGAGTTTGCTGCCAATAACCTGTTATTTCACACACCTATTTCATCATCTCCTACGTGTTTGCATAAAGAGGACTGTGCTATTTAAGTGATGAAGGAAGAAACATAGCCTCTAGTATCTGTGAATTTTTTGTAGTCATCTCATAAAGGTATCATCTACCCTTTCCTTTGGATTATGTACAAGGATCACACCGCTTATCCCCCCTTGCTGTTTTATTGTTATTGTCAGAGGGATGAAAGGCCCTTTGGGAATTCTCAGTTATGTCCCAGAACCAACTAACCAGCCTCAGGCACCACATTCCTTGACTTGGTTTTATAAAATGTGTTGTTTAAAGCACTTTGTGGATTTGGTGTTACTGTTAAGTGTATTTGAGAGTTGTACATTGCTGTGAGGTTCCTTCTGAGAGGGAAGAATGCAAGTGTTTTTTTTTTAAGGAAATAAATGCAGTGAATGAGGGGACACCTTTTGCCTTGCTGCTTGAGGCAGCCAAGTGTTTTGAACTGGCGCTCGGGCACCAATGGCGGCACCAGTCAGGAACAGTAGAGATAGGGACCTACAAAGGCTTATGCCCCAATGGAGGTCCCACCACTGAGACCTTGCCAGGCCTGCTCCTTCTCCTCACCTTCTCTGCTCACCTCCCCCTTGGACCTCTACACGCAAGTGAGCACATGAGCAGCAAAGGCAGGATGGAGGAGCGACTGCCACCACACACACACACACCCCCGATGGTTCTCTCAGCATCTGCCTTCCTGGTGAACAGTTCGTCTGCAGGAGTAACAAGGCATAATAGCAGCAAGTGAGGAAGTGCAGAATCACAGTGGCCGGAGATGAGGAGCCCACTCTGAGCTTGGAACTTTGTTTGGATTAAATGATACCATGCCAGCTGTGGGATTCTGGGAATCTTAGTCCAGAAAAAGTTCATCTTTTGTAGCCCCAGGCCCACAGAGGGTGGTCTTTTCCCTACGAGTTCTCTCCAAGATCAGGGGTTAGCACTGATCCGAGTTCCTCATACAAAAGCGCAGAGCCATTCTACCTTTTTTGGTTTATTCTCTCACCACTTATTTTCTACAACTGCTCTCTTTTCCTTCCCCAGCATGCAGAAAGAGGAGATGGAATTCCAGCCCCTGGAACAGATTAAGGAGAACGAAGAAGCAAACCACTCCACGCCCTTGTTGGGGCACATTGGCCGCTTTCTAAACGTCCAGTCCCCCAGTTTTTCCAGGTCATCCAGAATGAACCTGATGCGTCGGAGGAATGAAAATCTGCCTCCTTCCCCTTGCTATGCCTATCCAGATGGGGGGAAACCTGGGAGCCCCACAGGTATTAACCAGCAAAGGGGCGATTACTCCCCACCAGGCTGTAACTCCCAGGATCAATGGGACAACACAGCCAGAAAACTGAGAGAGCTCGACGCCTTCATGTCAACTCCTTTCTACGAGAGGCCCGGCTTCTACAGCGCTCCCCAGACTCCCATCAGCTCCATCCCCATGATCTTCCCGTCCAGACGGCAAGGGCGCAAGAAGCCTCCGGCTCTGTCCAGCATTGCAGCCTGCTCTGCGTCTCTGAGGGACAACTCTGCCAGCCAGTCCCCTTGCAGAGGCAGCGACGTGGACAAAAGCGAAAACTCTTTGGGCTCAGGAGGCAGAGAAACGTTTGTGTGGCCGGCTGAGAAAACTCATGCTTCAGACTCCTTGGCTGTGACCATCGAAGGGGAGGCAAACCCTACAAGCAACAGATCAAAGGAGGCATCTCCTCTGGGAACCCCAGGGGGGGCTCTGTCCTCGGGGGATTCAGTAAGCCCAACGGTTCCTTTACTGGCTGAGTCCCCAGATTCTCAGAGGCAGGCAAATGTCAACAGTGCAAACACTCCGAGAGGCCACCGACATTCCCGTTGGACTCCAGGCAATGCAGCAAGTCCAAACCCAGACCGCACTAGTTTCCTTCATAGCTATGGGATCAGGACCCCTAGCAGCAATGGCCCAACCAACTTCTTTTCATTCACCCCATTGACATCTCCAGTGCTTGAGAGAGCGCATCTCAACAAAACAAATGCTGGTGTTGGCCCAGGCCCAGAGACGTCACCTGGAACCTTAGAGCAGGATTCTCCAGCAGTGGCTGGGGCTATGAGAGAGACGGGAAACGCAGGCACAGTTCCCTATCACACCAAGGAACAGAGAAAGGCCACCAATGCCTCGCCCAATGACTCTGGCATCTCTCTAGCAGAAGGAGACTTTGTGGGGCTAATGGAAGTGATCATGGAAACCAGCGAGAACACCACTGATGAAGGGAAGGGAGACAGGGACAGCTAAAAGAAACAGGTTCAGCAGCATTCTCCCCCCCCTTTTAGAATAATGAAGTGGGGCTTTAACCTGCACAGCTCATTCCATAGGTAACACATGTGCTTCTATTAACAATCATGTTAAGAGCCATTCATAATACTTCAGCATCACAAGATTAGGAAATGAGCCTTAATGCCTGGAAGCAGCCAGTATCAGTGTTTAATACTTTTAAAACAGTTTGTTGTTTGCAATTACCAAAGAATAGAGCAGTCTCACCAATGCTGGGAATCATGTTTCAGGTATACTTCAAAGAACAATTTGCATGATTCACTTCCCAGTCACGTGCTGATTTTACCTCACCCTGGTATTGCACTCATAAAACAGGACTTGCAGTATATGAATATGATCATCCCACCTGACCAGCATTTGAACCTTGTTGGATATGTAACTGGGCTGGAGAGCAAAACCCTGGGTTGAACGCTTGGCATAAAATCTAGGGACTATGCAGATCTTGAGATCCAGTGATTCCCAGGAGACAAACACATTGGAGAGCACAGGTGGAGTGAATCTTCTACCATGCACCAGTTTCTTTAATTTCAAAGGTGTATCAGTCTTTATCTGGTACAGCACAAGGACAATCAATCCACAGAATCCCAAACAATACTCTACAAAATCAGGGGATGTGTTCCTTGCAAAATTAAGCCACTGTTTTATGCTCAATGGAGAGACCCCTTTCAACGCCGATCAGCTTCAGCCCACCTCTATGGGCATCCACATGCCTCAAGAATAAGAGCACTCCAGATCATTTGATGTGTAGGTATAGTAGCCTGCACTATATACTGTAGATGACAGAAGAGTGTCAATCTCTTAAACCCTTTCTATGGATTGAATTCCTCTTGTTCAAGTCTCAATCCCATCCCTGATTGATCATGCAAAAAACAAATTTGGGGGGGGGGCAAGAAAGAAGACCGTATTACATGGTTGCAGGGAACACCCATGATGACTGTTCCCTTAGCTGACTGAAAGACTATAGTGATATTTTGAGTGCATGAGAAAGGTATGCCTACAGTTGTACCACTTGAGGGGAGGGGGATTATTGTGTCCTGTGTCTCAAATGTGCAGAGAAGCACGACTGTACTTGTACAACCACACTATTTTTACAGATAAAGGAGCAAAAACATTAAAACACAGGCTGCCAACCTTTTACCAGATAAACTTTAACAGTTTTATGTGGGCTGCTAGGTCAACTGCAGAAGCAGTTTCGCTAGACTGGCACACCTTTTCACCACATGCAGTTCTGCACCACAATCCTTCACTAAATAGCCATGAGCAAAAGAAAAGGTTATATTTTTAAGGTTTTTAAGCACATTTCCTGCAATCTATTTCTAAAAATCACCTGACTAGTGAAATGAACTCAGTAAGTTTCAGTTCCTAGTATCTTAAATAGCAGCACTGGAACAGACAATGAGGTTAAAATCTAGAACCTGGGTTTCCTTTATGTAAGATCTTGATTTATTGACAGATACAGTATACAGACTACTTTTTTTAAAAAAATGGCTGCAGCTAGGCAGCTCTTACTACATTCAAGGATTAATAAAGTTCCAAGTGGAGGTGGTGACATTGGAAGTACAGTATCTCATTGCTACCTCATTAGAAAGCTTGAAAAGTTTTCACTTCTCAGGATACTGATGGAAAACAGCGTTGAACTTTGCTCCGCCGGTATTAGAATTCTTCAGTTCTGGTCTGGAACCCGGCAAAGTGAATCCAGTGCAAAAGGGGCACTTGGCTGGAGTGGTAGGGCTTGTAATTCTGAAGTCAGGAGGGCACCAGGTTAGGGAAAGCTGCTCTATAGAAGTCTTTTTGAGAAATTATTGTTATATTTATTCACTGTCAAGTTGCAATCTACTTAAAGTGATCCTAATGGTGTCAAGGTGAGTGAGATATTTAAAGAGTAGATTTACAAGTTCCATTCCACCAGTCAGTCTCCATGGCTAAGCAGGAATTAAAACTCTGGTCTCCAGAGTCCTAATACGCAAGTCATTTCATTCGTGACAGCACATTGGGTACAGTATTTAGAAGATTATACGGAGAGAGAAAAAGCTGCAATGATCCACAGGATATCAAAAGTATGAGCTAATTAGCCATGGAACCATGGCTTCAAAGGGTATGATTTCCTTTAATTTAGGGTGGAGGTCAGAAGCATTCTCTGGGTGTTAGGGCAGGGCTGCCTACATTCCACAGACCCAGATTTCAACATCACTTGATCATGTCAGCTTTCATTCTACAAAAAGAGACAAAGGCACAATTCTAGCCTTTCTTAAGAAAATTTCCAAGATTTCTGAAAACAAAACTATCAGAAGACAAGGTATGATACTCATTAGAACATTCCACGGCTTTACACAACTCGACTCCTTGCACCTCCCCATAGCTGCTGGAAATTAAGTTATACAAAACAGGCAAACCTGCATAATTTTAAAAAGTTTAAAATTTTGATTGTAGTGCAGAACACAGCACATCTTAATGTGCAATCTCTCAAGGCCCTAGAGCTCAGCAATATTCCGGAGAAATATACTGAGACGCATGATCTATATAATAGTGATCCAAATGATCCCTTTCAAAGAATCAGCAAAAAGGCACCAATTTTGGGACAGCTAGTCAACCTCTAACTTGATATTATTTTCACCACCACACTCCTTTTCATTTTAAAGAAATCCTCACACCTCCTCACTAATCCTTTATAACCACCCAACCCCTGTGTGCTTGTAACGGCGGCAGGAGAAAAAAAAGCTTTAGGCACAAAAAATAGTATTAATGAAAATTTCAACCGTACACCCTTCCCAGAATTTTCCCATACACACCAGGGACACAACCCAAATGTGGGAACCAATGGATTAAAATGTAATAGGCATGGACACGGAAGACACAAATATACAGTACCATCTGCCAATGAGCTTACTTTTCACCTGCACCCCAATCCCAAGGCCCCTGTAAAATGGTAGAAAATAAAATGTAGTAATTCATTGGAAATTATGGAGGCACTACCCATGCTGTTTTTGTCTTTAAAAAAAAACTTTGTGTAGATATTAAGTTTGTAGATTGCAAAGCTGGCAGCGCTCACCAATAATAGAGCAAGCGAGTGAGTGGCTGAGTCTCACTCAGCTCTATTTACACTGGTGAGCAGGGAATCGATTTGGGTATTTCTACTGGCAGCAAATTAAACCTTGACTTGACTGTGCCACCCTCAATTACAAATTCAAGAATGTATGTCACAATTTAGATTTCCGACATTAATACCATGTTCACGTCCTTATATGGGAGCCAGTTTCCTAGCCATGGATAATGAGAACTCGGCACATACCAGAACCCTTCAGTTATTTCAAACAATGCTTTGTTTGTGAATTTACCAACACCTTGCTCCATCCATGCTTCAGTACAACTAAAAGCAATTTGAACCAAATCACTTTATTAAGCATGAGATACAACATAAAAGGACAAAAATTAAATGTATACAGTTATGGACAATGTTAATGGATAAACCAAAGAAACATGCACAGCTGAAGATGCAGGAGTCCCACTTGTTTTTCAGGAAAGGCTTTCAGTTTTCACTGTCACTTTCTCCCAGAGTGTGCTTGTCGAAAAGATATTCAGCCAATCCAGATTTTGGCGCCCCCATCTTGCGCAGGTTGGTCACATGGTCACCCAGCTCTTTGATGGACTTGACCTGCTCATCCAGGTAGTGGGTTTCAATGAAATCACATAACTGTGAGAAGGGAAATGATGCGTTAGACATGCCACTCTGATTCAGCCAATGCCATGATATCTCATGGTAACCACACAAAAATAAATGACCTATTGCAAAAAAGCACAAGCAAAGTCTGAGACAAAGGAGATGACCTCCACAGTTCCCACTCCTTCTCCCACCATACCCAGATGTAGTGCAAGGCATTTATAAAGGAGAGCAGCTCAAGAAATGCAAGGTTATGATTTATCGCACAAAGAGTGTCTGTATTCCACACCAAGACATGGAAGTTCTGTACTCAGGCAATCCAGGTTTGTAAGAAGGGAAGCCAAATGCTGCTGTCTACATAAATAATGCACACCAGGTATAGTTTGCCTGTCTGCTTCTGCTTTTTCGTACTGATGAAAACAGAAAACAAAACTACAGCCACATCAACTAACAATATTTTTAACAGCTTCTGGCTTCTGAAATCCTAATTATGCATTGCAAAAAATATGCCTGAAAATGTGTGGGTAGCCACAAATACTAAAAAGAAAGCAGGATACAGTATAAGGTATCCATCAACATATTTGGTATTCCCACAGAATCTCATCACACGCACATCGATCATCACCTTGATATTCAAATCCTTTAATGACAGGAATTTTATTTAAACTTGGTGCTATTCTTTTAAACAGCAGGACAGGCACACCCTTTGCAGCTCCAGCCAAACTATATGCTATTTGTATTAACTTTCACCTACATGTGGGTCGTTTTTGTCAGTTGCCAGCTTGTGCAGGTCCAGCAGTGATTGGTTCACATTTTTTTCCAAGTGCAAAGCACACTCCATTGCTGTCAGTCCACTCTCCCAGTCATCACGATCTGGTTTCTAAGAGAGCAAAACAGTCATTTATTTACATCAAAGCCAAGCCACAACAATACCAAGAACTTACAGAGCATACTGCTGTTACAGAGCAAATAGTTAGGATATCATAGGACAGAATCACTGCCATTTGAAAGTTTTAAAAGCAATGCTCTTCATCTTACGAGGCTTTGAATTTGAAGTACTGTATAGGTTATAGGTCATGCACCAAGACAAAGTGTTTCTCCACCCCACCCCCAGAACCAAAATATTCCACCCATCTATCTCCCTTTGCAATCTGCAACGGGGGTGGGGGGGTTACATATAATACAGGAGTAGGCAAGATCAGCAGTCTGCTTGGCCTACCCTGAACGGTGCAAGAATTGTTCGGAAGTACTGTGGACAATGTGACAAGCTTCTTGCACTAAAACCTTCCCTCACCTACTCCTTTCTTACCAGTATTTTTCATTTGACATAAGAAACTTGCTTTAGCATGAATATGGGCTGGGATCCCTGCATCTGTCAATTATAAAACCCAACTCAGCATGCAATTATTTCAGGTTCAGCTATAACACTGTTGTTTCCATGGCAATCACATTTTCAAACTGCATTTTTATCAGAGCAAGAGCATTTTAACCATATAATGTAACCATTCGGCATTTGCACAATAATCCTAGTCTAGTGGTTTTCAAGATGTTTGTTTCTAAGAAAAAAATATCCTGATCAACTCATGTGTCCAGATCCCATGTGAGTTGCAGAGGGTGCGGAGACATATTCTGAACTGCACACAGTTCAAGCTAACTGTGTCTGGTGTAAATTGGGTTCTTTAGAATACAGAGTTAGTGTGTGGTGAAGAAACTATTTCAAAAACACTCCCCAATGTTAGCATTCGTTAGTGAGGAATGCTGATGAAGCGCACAACGCTTCTTGAAATAAAGTTTTAAAAAGCAACATTATCAACAATTGACAAGATGTGGCTTATTAGTGCATTGCACCACTTCAGACTGGCATGCAGGAAGGAAAATTCAGTTCTGAAGGTTCTCTCCTAACAGGCCCCTGCACAGTTACAGCATACGTATCCGGGGAAGGGGGGGAATGTTCTTGCATCGCCTTCTCTCCAAGGTGCTAATACTGTACATTCAAAGGAACCATTTTCTTTATGGAACTGAATGCTTCCTTCTCCCTTACTAGCTTATAATTATACATTATGTAAGTCTGCTAATTGCTTCTCTTAAAGGAGCTGCTCCAGCTTTTTCTAAAGAAGTTTCACAATTAACATTAAGATTTGTACTTGTTTGTTTTAATCATTAATTTGGATCCCAGGCCAGAAAGCAGGAATACCTTCGCCATCACACTTCTACCTGTGGATGAACTTACCTTAATGTCTTGCAGGAAAATGCGACCGCCCCTCTTGTTCTGGAACTTCATAAGCTTCTCTGCATGCTCACGTTCCTCATGAGATTGGTGAAGGAAGTACTTGGCAAAGTTCTTCAGGGCCACGTCATCACGGTCAAAATAGTAGGACTGAAATGAAAATCCAGGTACTTTATGGAGGATTGTACACGGTCAAAATAGTAGGACTGAAATGAAAATGCAGGTACTTTATGGAGGACTGTATAGGATTCAGCTATTTCAGCCATGAATGCTCTTTGCTTGATGTTCCTATTTCACTGGGAATGAGCATGAAGAACATGCTGCTGCTTCTAACTAAATAAACTTATTTGTCTGTCACAGCTTTTCAAAGCACTGGAACCACTGATCCAGACTTCAAACTTCTTAGCTTTAACAGCCATTGGCTACTGACAGGCAGCTCAAATATGGAAAGTCTAGCTGACATGCTCACCCAATCAGTATTATGCACTGGCTCTTTATTATAGAAAAGTGTTTCAATTATTCTAGACATTCAGGAATGTGCAGCTCCATAAGAATAAGTAACAGTCGTTGCAATGAAAAATACTGCCCAAATCTTACTCAGATGCAATAGCCTATAAAGACTGTATTTCTGTTTGAGACATTATCCTTAAGCATCAATTTTAAAGTCCAGGTCAAGCTCTATAATACACATGTAAGAGCTTGTTCAATCAAAGAAACCAGGTTAATAGCTTTGCTAAAACATGTTCCGATTTAGGAACTATGACGATACGATAAACAGTTATTGGCATTAAGCAGTAACTCAGGGGAAATAGACAAAATCAACATTTATGAGGAAGTACAAAATCATGACAAATGATACATTTTATCTGGAGAATGGGGTAAGGAGATTTCAACATTATAAGGCAACAGTAAGTTTCAAAATTTCACTTAAGTAGTTTGCCACCGCCTCAGTGAGGGGAGCACAGCAATCACTCAAGAAGATAGGGAGAAGATCAGGGAAGTGATCTGAAAAGGGAATCAGCCAGTGATCTAAAAAGAGTTTGTGATGGAAGTGGTGTGCTGGGCATCTAAAGAGAATATGGTCTAAGGTATTGGGCAGCAAATGACAGAAAAGGCAAAGTCTTTTGTCTTTAGGGATTTTGGAAAAGTGGCCAAAATGCATGGCTGACGGGAAGATCTTAAACCAAACTAGCATGAAAGCTCTTTGCTGCATAGTCAGATTAGTCAGTAGAATGAAATAATTTAAAGGATTTTCTACAACAGGAGATAAGCCAAAAAAATTTGGAGGACATGTGGGATTAAGGAGGTCACTTAGATGTTCAAACTCCCACTGATATAACTTGGCTTTGATATGAGAGTGAGCGAAAGATAATTCCAAATCAAAGAGCGATTCTAGTGGGATATCAAGGAACTATTAATTTTATCAGCAATAGGAATTTAGTACCCATCTTGCCATTTGATCATTTACAAAGACCAATATTGAGGCCATCCATTGTATTCTGATTCCAGTTAATGCTAACGATAACTACAAGACAAAAAGTTACCCTATACCTTGACAGCCACTGCATTTACAAAGACCAATATTGAGGCCATCCGTATTCTGATTCCAGTTAATGCTAACAATAACTCCAAGACAAAAAGTTACTCTATACCTTGACAGCCACTATTATTTCAAAATTAAAGCTAGTGTGTTCCTAGTAAGACTAGCCTGTTTTTCTGAAGTTTACTAATTGTGTGTTGTCCAAGTCAATTCTGACTCATGGCAATTCCTTCCAGGGTTTTTTATGTAAAATATTCAGAAATAGTTTACCATTCCCTTCTTCTGGGGACATCCTGGGACTGTACAGCTTGCCTAAAGCCAGCCACACAGGATGGCCCTTCTGACATGCACAACAGGGAATCAAATTCCCAACACTGGGGGCTCGGCAGCCAGGTGCCTAACTTATTGAGCTAATTAGCCAGCTTACAAGTTTCTCATAAACTTTTTCACATAATTCTAGGTGAGAACCAAAGGAAAACGTTAAGCATATTTCCAGCTTTCATGCTGTTCTCTAAGAATTCCAAAACTAATCATGAATGCTGCAACAAAAAACCTTGAACAGGAGCCAAAGAAATCAAGAGGTTCACCTGTGACACAAACTTCTAGTTCTGTTCAAACAAATCAGCACAGATTTTACAGAACAAGTCAATTTTATATTAAAGGTTCTGGGGAACTGGTCCAAGGTCAATTAAAACCACAAATTTTTGCAGTACAGAGATAAGCTCTGATGCACACAGATTTCTCTGCAAGCAAGAATTAACTCAATGCAGTTTCTTTCTCTTCCCATTTCTAGGATGTGCTGCTACACCAAGGGGTTAAACAGGTATTACAGCCAACAGCCTTTAGTAAATAAAGACTCAATTCCACAACCTTTTTTTAAATCGAAGTGATGGGCAATACTGCAATGCCCCTTTCTTACAACATGCCCCAAAGTTTGACGCCACCGACGCAGAAACGGACGGACACCGAAGAGCCCAACAGGATTAGACCAAGAGTTCATCCAACACACCACTCTGTTTCCAACAGCGACTGGAGAGGTAGGGTGTCAATGCAAGATCCAGACAGCCGTCGGCAAGTTAATTTGTAGGTTTGCACTCCTTCAGGTCGGTGCGGTCCCTATCCAGCCTCCAGTTCTGCATGTACTCAAAGGAATAACCCTTGAGCCGGAACAGCAATAGTCTTTCTCGCACATTAAGGGGAGGGGAGGCAATCTCCGACCACAGTTCATAAATAACTTTATCGGGCAACCCAAAAAGCCACAGACGTGCGCCATCTGGTTGCCACGGCTCAACTCGGGGATCTGCAGAAAAGATAGTAAACGAAAAGAAGCCGGACCTTCTCAAAGGGGGCGCCGATCGCCTCGAAGCAGGCGAGACGCAGTGTTTACCAGACTTCCAGCAAGCACCCAGGCGGGGCTCCTCCCTCTCTTAACTCATAGCCCTGCAAAGGAGGAGGAGGCGGGAGGGGGGGAGAACCCCGAAGGGATCCGCCTCCTGCACGGCGTCGCAGGCCTCCCTCCTTCCCCAAGGGCACATCAATGCCTGCTGCCCGTCCGTGGGGCTCCCCCCCCCCGCATTATTCGGTCCCCCAGGCCCAGCAGCAGTGGCCCCCCTCCCTCCCTCCAAGCCTCAAGGGGAGCTCACCATGCTGAGGTACACGTAGGAAGCGTAGAGCTCCAGGTTGATCTGCCGATTGATGGCCGCTTCGCAGTCCTGGTGGTAGTTCTGGCGCACCTGGGAAGGAGACGAAGCCATGGCAGGGCGGCGGCGGCGATACCGGTGTCTGTGGTGAGGATGCTGGCGAGAGGTGTAGAGGCAACGGGTGGGCCCGAGCAGGGGGTGGGTTCCGTCCAATCACTGTTGAAGCAGGAACCTCCTCGGCTTGGGTGTCGCAGAACGTTCTGAGCCCCTTGCCTTGGCGTCGCGTCTATATATAGACCGAGGTTGCGTCACAATTCGAGTTGGGAAAGGCCACGCCTTCCGCCGCGCGGGAACCAAAGTGGAGGGAAGGAGCACGAGCCTCTCCCAGGCGGGGCGCCTTAGCCCGCCTCGCGAGTAACCGTGACTCAGCGGGTTTTTTTCCAGCTTCGCTTGGCGGGTGACGCTTTGTCCGAAAGGGGAGGAAAGGGGTCAGCTGGCTGGTGATTGACTGGAAGGCCGTCCGGAGGACAGAAAGTGCTGAGTCGCTGCGTTATTTACCGTTTAACATAACCGTGTTTTGTAATAAAGGGAAGCCTGGTTAAAAAAAAAACTCTCCAGAATTAGGTCATTCTGAGATTTCTCCCTTGAGAAGGAAGCTGGTTACTACAACGTACTTTGCGTTGACATTCGTCTTTAAAAAAATATAAATTGGTTCCGAAATCCAGTGGCCATTTACAGAATTTAAAAGCTACCGCCTATATTTTTTACCTACCTTCACATCACATATATCACTTTTACTTTTAACACATGCACAAAAAACGTTACGTTTTCTGGTTTTGTTTTTCATATGTTTCTCTCTCTCTTAATGTTTTCATTTATTGTGTGTCTGTTTTTGCTTGCCTCTTTAGTTTGTAAACCACACACAATCGTGCATTGCACTAATGGGGCTGTAAATAAATGAAGTGATGGGTATAATGAATAAACAAACTCCTGAGCAGAAGCTGGAGAAAAGACTCACCTTTTCATTTAGGAGATCTAAGCCCTTCTCCCTTTTAGAACATCTAAAGCATTTTTGAGTTACTATGGTCGGATAGATGAGTGCAGGATCAGGGTTCAAACAAGACTGGTTCGCATTCCCACTTGGCCATGGAAAACTTACCTGGGGGAGGAGGGATGCTGACGGGGGACAACCCACTCCTTAGACATATCAGGTATATGGAAAACCCCATAAGATGTCATGGAAGAGAGTTGTTAGCACATGATGACAAATGGTGGACAGTTATTGTCATTGTCAAAGTGAATCTAAGAGATTGTTTTGCCATAAGTAAAGGCCATTGACATCTAAGTGCTAGCAAAGCAAGCTCACCTTGTTCTGGGTGGGTGTTTTGCTGGAGTGGCTTTGAATTATGACATTGATACCGTTGGCCTGTGCAAGTCCACCAAAAGAGGCCTACTTTTGCTGTTTCTTAAAGTTAAATTAGCCCCTTTTTTTGCCTTTTATTTTGTAGGGTTTTTCCTCTTCTGTTTTGATTGGTATCCACACCAGTATGAATTCTCAGAAATCCAGAGCAAAGTTTTTTTTTAATTACACCTCCCAGAATCCTTCATTTTCTGATTTGATTTGATTTTTGAATTAAAGCTCTCCAGCAGCTACTGGGAGCTAAAACACCCCACCCCACCCCATTATTTTCAAGCTTTGCAGAAAAGTAATGTTTTTTATGGCAAGCATTTTTTTTTCTACCCTAGCTCTGTGGAACCCTTGGATCCTGTTAACAAGTTCAATACCTCCCTCAAATGTTTTGCTCACCCACCCACCTCAAGCACTTCAGTAATGCAGAGTAATATAATTGTTTCATTATTGCAAATGTTGACGCTTGAATTGTTTTTTAAAAAACCCTTATTACCATATTTTTGTTTGTGGGGCAGAAGGGAGATGTGGTTGAAATTCTTTAATATATCTTCACATTTTATGGAGTTCCTTCACTGAAACATTAAAAAAACTTTATAGGGTTGTCAACATTGCAAAATACTGCACAGATTGACAGGAGAAAACACGGACATACACAGTGCTTATTGTGTACATAGTAGGCTGCAATCCAAAATGAACAAACCACTTCTGTGAGGTCTGATGACATGGTCTGCTGCAGAGTTTTTAAAGACATAAATCACACTGGTGTTCTGTGTAACTGTACTTCTCTGTTTATCATCATACATCATCCTTACATTTGCAGAATTTCAAAATCCAGGACACATTAAGCAGAGCTGTAAAATGGGGATTCCCAGGTGAGAAAGTTTTTTATGAATTGATATAACTGGCAGGAAAGCAGCAGAATTAGGTATGAATTTAATACGCACATCATAGAAAAGACACAAACAGTAAGATAATGCAGAACTTACAGGCACCCTTGAAAACTATGAATTCCCTTTGAACTTCTGCATTGCGCAGTTGCAAAATATTTGTTATCCCGAAGCATCTCAGCCCCATAAAATAATAATAGGCATATTTATTTACAGAGATGTAAAAGACAATGAGAAAAGAAGCAAATTTCAACTTGATACTAATAAGAGAGATTTATTATTAAAAAAGGAATCATAGGGAACAGAAAAAGATCTAAATAGATAACTTTTTCAAAGGGACATGATTTGATCTGTTTCTGATAGGAGTTATTTTGAACTCCTCATGAGCAAGACTCCCCTCACAATAGACTTACTCCAAGATCATCACAATAGTTTAGACTTATTTGCTAGAGTATCATAAAACATGCACAGATTTCTCCCTCAGACATCAGAATGGACACTGAGAATTAATGATTTTGAGAGATGTAGTCCATTTTCTTAAGAGAGGGGGAAAGAGCTCAGTTTAGCTGGAGAAAATCCCACACAGGACCCAGGAACAGAGGACTTGCAAGTAGAACAGAATTTTTAAGCAAGAGAAGCAAATCCCAAATCCCCACATTTATATCAACATGACGGCCCAAATCCTCTTGCACAGCTATGCAAGCATAATGCTAACAGTGTGGCTTTTGGAGGTGAGAGACCCATCAAGCTGAACCAAATAACAATGTCTCCTTTCCATTCCCCAACAGCCAAGGTCTCGTGCCTAGTGCCCTCCAGGGAGTTTAAGCAAAATGTACCAAAAATGGCTGCTGCCAACCCCACCCTACCCCTTAACTGTTTATCAAAATCTGAGTAGCTTGGCAAGGCAAAGCAGTAAAAATTATTTTCAGGATTTCCTTTGCACTCAAAATCCAACCAATACCCCACAATAATTTTATTTTCTTTATATTAAATTTATTTATATTAAAAAGAAAAAGAAACAACAACAAACAATGACAGAAATAAACGGGAAAAAGTTATCCAAAAGCTTCTCTCAGCTTAAAAGAGCAAAGTCACCACAGAACAGCAAAACAGGCTTTGGACTGCTGCAAAAGAAGGTACTGTACACACTTAGAAAATAAGAAAGTCTAGTTAACCTAGCTGCTCTTACAATATCCCTAAACAAAAGCCATTACTATGAACATGGTCTCTTTGGAAGTAGGGAGATGATTTGTTGGGAGATTATGTTTTACCTCATGTGAGGATGCCAAGCGCCAAGAATCATTTCTCTCCAGCCTCCTATATACAGAATACAATGGGATCGAAGTCACAACCATCTCAATTACCTGTTATTCCAAGTACTTGTCTTCTCTCAGCCCAAATTACCATACCGGCTGGCAGGAAGAGACTTATTCCATAGAGCCTAACACATGTCAAAGTATGCTTTGAACTGCCAGATAACCAAGATAAACAAAAGGGTCTTCTTTTAGTCCTCTGGAAATGAATCCTTGCCAATCCCTCCTGGAAGGTATGAAAAAGTTTCTTCTATTTGGTCCTTACAGTACAGACATGGCTGCATGCTAAAATAATATTGTCCATACTTCTTAAATTCCATGTGATCAATTTCTTTATACTGTCTGGGGCGGCAATTTTGGGATATCAGAAAAGGACATAAAATAGTTACTCACTTTGTCCCCGTATTTCTGCTGCCAGGGCTGGGAGAGATGCTCGCCTGCTTTTCTTCTTCATATATGAAAATAACTTGGCTGGTGGTTTTACACACCTTCACTTGGGTGGGGGCATTTTTCGCTGCTTTGCCTGAGGCATGAAAATCTCTTGAACCAGTCCTGGTCTGGTTCAAGAGGCTTTCACACAAGGAGTTCTCACACATGGAGTCTGTTCATACATACCCAGTGGGGCAGGGATATGGTCAGTATGTGTACCCTGCCCACAAATGTGTGTTGCTGCCACATAAAACCACACTCTCACCTTTCCACACACCTGTGTGAACATTCACACAGGCAAATGTGTGAACATTTCAACAAAAAGATGTTGGAATGACAGGAATCAGTAAACAAGCAAAAGAGGTTCGGAAAGCAATGGGTGAGGTGTGCCAAGAAAAGTACTGAAGGAATAGGCTATATAATACAGTAGTTATATATAATTAGTTGAATTAACTGACTAAATTCTGGGCTACAGTTCTTCAGCACAAATAACAGCATTCTGGTCACTTTTTGAACTTTGAACTGGCAGGGTAATTTATTAAACCAATATAATTTTACACTGTGTTGCTTTGTTATCTCTTAGCTCTGAATTTTTGCTTAATGATTTGTTTTGGACCTGATACCATATCAACCATTCAGGAAAGGGGTATAAATGGAAGGTCCACATTGGGAAAGCACCAGGGATGTTGCTTTTCAATGATTCTATGATTGCAACAGGGAATGACTTTGCAGAAAAGACGCAATGGAATGTAAATGGACTTCAAGTCACAAGGAGGAAAAACAAGCTAAAAAAATATGCCGTTGTGGGATCAAGTACTTAAGGGTCAAGTACAGTACCTAGGAGGGTAGCATTAGATAGATATTTAAGAAAAATAAATGGCAGCAAAATGTTACATTGTGTTACAGCCAATCAGAGGACTGAATAGCAGCAGACCAATGCAGAATTTATATAAGATTCAAGTAGGAAGAGCAACCAACAGGAAACTCGGTGGTGTTGAGTAATTTGTCTGGGTCATGATTCATTTTCTGTGACAATGTCAGAGGCAGCTGATCCATTAGAGCAGAACAGGCACTGCCCCGCCATAGGTTCCGGCTACTCCCAGTTAAGCCTATTTACGCCTGCCTTCTTCCAGGAGGCAAAAGGTCAGGGCCTGGCTATGTTCCTCTCCTGGCTGTTGATTCCCCAGACCCATAATCTTCTGCATGTGAGGCAGGGGGGCTGAAAGTGAAGGCATGAATG